TGTCTATTATTGCAACTCTCTCTCTCTCTCTCTCTCTCTCTCTCTCTCTCTCTGTGTGTGTGTGTGTGTGTGTGTGTGTGTGCGTGCGTGTGTCTGGAGGAGCAGCGCTGGAGAGTGGCGTAGAGTGGAGTAGCATAGTTGAGTACGGTCATAGTAGACTGCCGTAGAGCACGGTAGTGAGGTAGCGTAGAATAGCATAGTAGAGCGTAGAGGATCTCTCTCTCTCTCTCTCTCTCTCTCTCTCTCTCTCTCTCTCTCTCTCTCTCTCTCTCTCCCCTTCCTCCATTGCGCCTGACGTGATAGGTCGTGATGCAAGACATGCCACCCCGATCGATCGGACATCGCGAGACAGAGATAGAAGCTCTGCTTTTTCTTTTTCGCATGCCACGACGTTCGATCGAGCGGATGACACCTCTGAACCGAGTAGACTACCGTACTGTAGCAGTAGAGTACCATCGAATAGCGCCTCTCTCTCTCTCTCTCTCTCTCTCTCTCTCTCTCTCTCTCTCTCTCTCTCTCTCTCTCTCTCTCTCTCTCTCTCTCTGTGCCGAACTTGCCGCATTGGTCGATCAGATGATGAAGAGAGACAGCATAGCAATCAACGAAGCAGAAAACCGACGGAAACGAAACAAAAACGGAGGGCTTACTCACGTTCGGTCATGGTAGAGCCTGACCTTCCAACCTTCACGATGCCAAGCCCAATCAGCATCCAACCTCGAAAAAGATTCACAGCCCAACCTCGTAGCAGAGCATAGTAGCGAAGTTGAAAAGTCGAGCGCCGCCGAGTAGAGTAGTGAAGTCGAAGTCGAGCGTAGTAAATCGAGTGGTAGAGCAGAGTAGCCAAGTCGAAGTCGACCATAGGCTGCATTGCAGAGTAGAGGAGCAAAGTCAAAGTCGCGTAGAGCAGCAGTCGACTACTTCGTCCCCCGCATACAACGTACGGTCATTATAGCTGTATCTAGACTGAAAGATGCCTCAAATACAGCTATAATGACCGTGCGTTGTATTCGGGGGAAGAAGCTAAAGTCGAGTTTCGGAGCCGCAGCCCAGAAAAAGGGCGCCGAAGTTGAGCCTTGCCCAACTTTTTAGGACCTCGCTGCACTACTCTCGACGTTCACAAAAGACAAAAGAGACAAAAATCATGGGGGTGTATCTTTCCATACTCTAGCGGAAGATTCACTCTCGTTTTGCACATTTCGAGAGTAGTGCAGCGAGGCCGAAGTCGAAGTCGAGCATTCGAAGTCGAAGTCGAAGTCGAAGTCGAGCATAAGCGCGCCGATTCCTTCCGGCACCGCCCTGCTACATTCAAACACTGCGTAGTTCGGTTCATGTACAGACCCAAGTTCGAGTCCAGGTACAATCAGATGACCGGAATAAATCAAATCATTCTGAAAAGACAAATAAAAAGGGGGTTCAGAAAGTTCGTACGGGTCCCCGGCGCGCGTGTACTCGCCAAAATTTGCCCCTTGGGATTGCCGCAGGCGGTACTACTGTGCACGGGGCAAATTTTGGCCTGGGGATTGCCGCGTTTGGGACTAAGGGACCAGAGGGCCCACCGCCCCGGTTCCTTCGTCTCCACGACTGGGCCTTGCTGCACGGCTCTGCATTGACTTAACGTGAGGGCACGGGTGCGCAGCCCGTAGTTCGTTTGTTGATGTGGTTCGGGAAGGGTAAGGTAGTGATTATGCTGTATGTATGTTTTGTTGTGTTCGCTATACACAACTCGAAGAGAGTGTGTGTGGGGTCCCGGTTGGTGCTTTATTCACCATGTTCATGGGACGCTGAACCCAGTTTCCAGCAGGTGGCGCTCCCCATCAATAGACAGGAGAATGTGTGTG